TCTCTCCTCCTCCTCACCTCTTCCTCTCACAGGCTGCTAAAACAGGCTTCTGACTCGGGGTTGGTACAGCAAAAGTGAAGAGGCCTGAGAAGGAACAGGAGCATTTTTATTGGACCGATAATAGAACACGTTCTGGGTTCTTCTGGAGACTTCCCATCACTCTGGCTTACTCAGCTGCAGTGTTCCCACATAATCAAATGCATCTCTGCCCTGGCTGGTCTCTCCTCCTCCTCACCTCTTCCTCTCACAGGCTGCTAAAACAGGCTTCTGACTCGGGGTTGGTACAGCAAAAGTGAAGAGGCCTGAGAAGGAACAGGAGCATTTTTATTGGACCGATAATAGAACACGTTCTGGGTTCTTCTGGAGACTTCCCATCACTCTGGCTTACTCAGCTGCAGTGTTCCCACATAATCAAATGCATCTCTGCCCTGGCTGGTCATCTGCTAAGTCTTCCCTGGTCCTGGGACAGTAAGCAGCCACTTCCAACTTCTTTCTGCTAACGGCTCCACAGTTTCCCATGTAACTGTCTTGGACACCAAGCACACTACTCTCCACTTCTCAGGGCTCAGACTTCAACCTGTGGGGTCATCTGATCCCTCTGAGTTTTCTAGGAAATCCTTCTCCTCTGACTTAGGAATGGTATCTCTAACCCTCTTTCCCTTGGGGACAGGAATGGATTCACATGAACATTCTCTCTCTCAAAAAACAAAAACAAAGCAAACAAATGAAAAACTCTTTAGAATTGCTCTTTTACATGATTCATGTACTATCAACACCTGTACAGAGTCAGCTTTACTGTGTATCCAAATAAAAAATAAAACCAAGGTATCAAGAATGTAGACTATGACAGATGAATTTAACAATATAAACATACGACATAACCTCAACTGAAGAGAAAAGAGAGAAAAGGAGCTGACCTAAGTAACTTTGGAAAACAGCTTTGTGACTAAATACTGTGAACTAAAGACAAAAATAACTACGTAAGCGCCATGCTCTAATTGGTAAGTTCATTTCTCATGGGGTTACTAGTTAGCATTCTGAAAGTACATACTCGGGTTGATTATAAGAGGACCTAGGATCAGTGACACCCCAGTAGAACGAGGATACCTAGTACCCAGATATTAGTATCTAAATACCATTTTCCAAGGGCTCCTTGGAGATATGACTGATTTTAGGGCTTGGATAAGGAACATACAACATAAGGGTGGCATAATCTTGCAGAACCTGAAAGTGAGGATGTACTTAAGGAAATAAAAACAGGTGGGGCATGTCAAAATTACCCAGGGCCAGCCTGAAAAACCTTCTAGTGGCTAGAGCTGGAATGATTTGAGCAAAAGAATAATGATCATAATGGATTAAAACCTAAAGAATAAAGTAAATATCCACAATTGAATAAATAGATAGGGGTGGGGAAGGGCACGGGGATAAATCTTTATAGAAGAATCCCAAATAATGTATGTGGATACTTCCCACTTAATTTCCCTCCCCTTGAGAGTGGGCTGGGCTTAGTGACTCACTCCCAAAGAATCTAGAAACATAGTGACAGGACAGTGGAGAAACCTGACAGATACCAGCCACCTGAGCCAAGGGATCAAGGGTAACTTCACCGTGATGTCATGTCGCTATCCTGTTCCCTAATATGATTGAATGGAAAGAGCACTTCACCTCTGTGGTGTTCTTCCCCAAATCTGTAACTGCAGTCTAATTATGAGAAAATATGAGGAACGATTTACTGAATACCTGATCATGAATCTTCAAAAGTGTCAAGATCATGGGAAACAAAGAAAATCTAAGAAATTGTCATGGACCAAAGGAGACATAAGAGCTAAATGCGCCATGATATCTGGATTCTGGAAGAGAAAAAAAAAAAGGACATTAGTGAAAAGTGGTAAAATAGTAATAGTATAATAGTAATAGTATAGTACCAAGGCTCATTTCTTAATTTTCACAAATGTACTATAGTTATGTTATGTACGATGTTACGGGAAGGTGAGTGAGGTGTACACAGGAACTCTCCATAGCATCTCTGCAAGTTTTCTGTAACTCGAAAATTTCTCCAAAATTAGAAGTTTATTTTCTAAAATGTTCTTCTAATCTCCAACTCCCAGTCCTTTTACAGTCTCAGTGTGGGTGAGGGGTTTAAGAATAATCAGTTTCCTGGGCACCTGGGTGGCTCAGTTGGTAAAGCGACTGCCTTCAGCTCAGGTAATGATCCTGGAGTCCTGAGATCGAGTCCCGCATCGGGCTCCCTGCTCAGCGGGGAGTCTGCTTCTCCCTCTCACCCTCCCCTATCATGCTGTCTCTCTCTTTCAAGGAAATAAATAAAATCTTTTTTAAAAAAAAATTAAGAAGAGCAAGTTTTCTAACCCTTTTTTGTTGGGGGGGGGAGCCTGCATGGTGGGGTCTAACATCTCATTTTGGAGTGTAATTTCTACTATCTTTGAGCTTCAGCTGTGAACTTCCATTTAAATTTCCTATTACATTCACATATGTTTTAAAAAGTCTCTAGAATGTTACATTGAGGGGCACCTGGCTGGCTCAGTCAATAGAGCATGCAACTCTTGATCTCAGGGCTGTGAGTTTGGGCCCCATGTTGGGGGTAGAGTTTACTTTAAAAAAAAAATTGGGGATCCTGGGTGGCTCAGTCAGTTAAGCAACCAGCTGTTGATTTCGGCTCAGGTCATGACCTCGGGGTCCTGGTATCAAGCCCTGTGCTGGGCTCCCTGCTGAGCTGTTAGTCTGCTCCAGGATTCTCTCCCTCTCTCTTTATCTTTCTTTCCCCCTTCCCCACCCTTCCCTGCCCCTGCTCAGACGTGGGTGCTCTCTCTCTAAAATAAGTAAATCTTAAATAAAAAAGAGAAAAAAATAGAATGATATGCTAGAAACCAAATGACATGTCTGCAAAGAAATCTCTTTTTCCTCAAAGAGAAAAAAATGGCCATTCTCTCCATTTATTCTGTTGTACCTTTCGGAATTTGAGCCATGTGAATGTATTACACCTTCAAATTTTTTAATTAGGGAAAAGCTGCTTATTTGTATTACCCTCCTCTGGAATCACTGTTCAGTGACTCAGGGGCTATTTCTGTAATGTGGTGACTTCCTGAGAAAGATTCTTCCATGGGTTCTACGATGTGATCATTCAAAGTTCAGGAGCCATTTTTTTCTTCATGACCATCTAATACCATTTGCATTTGTGTTCTCCCATGTTTCACCTTCACACATTTCAAAAAAGCACTTGGTTTTTGGCAGTTTGTTGAATAATTTGGCACTTCGTGGGTTGGGCTTATTTCCGCTATTGGGACCCAAGGAGGGAAAGAAAGGACCCTGTGAAGGTGCTTGTGGCCTCATGAAGAGTCGTTAGAATGGACATCCCTGAGCATTTTTATATTTCAGGAGGAGGCCCCCGGAAGGTCAGCTTTTTCATATGCCCAAGGCAGCTGTCAACCACAGCTTTCACCACACAGTCCTCACTCCCAAGTACCCGTTCTGTTTGGAGCAAGCCTTACTCGCCTCCTTAAAGGGGATAGAATAAAGCAGGGCATTTCGTTGACACAGGGTCCGATCAAAACAGCCCTGTGTCTAACAGTTCCTTAAAGACATGCATACTGGGGCGCCTGGGTGGCTCAGTGGGTTAAAGCCTCTGCCTTCGGCTCAGGTCATGATCCCAGGGTCCTGGGGTCCCCCCCCCCCCCGCATTGGGCTCTCTGCTCAGCGGGGAGCCTGCTTCCTCCTCTCTCTCTGCCTGCTTGTGATCTCTGTCTGTCAAGTAAATAAATAAAATCTTAAAAAAAAAAAAGACATGCATACTTAAAAAGTGTAATATCTGATGTTGATAATAACTAGATTTACATAGAAAAGCAAAATATATGGATATTAATAAAGTCATAGAAATACATTATTTTTACAGATTTACACATTTCCATGAAATATTTTGGAGACAGTCATATGTGTCATCATTTTTTTATCTTTGAGGTAAAAATTGTTTTTTTTTCCAAAATATATGTTAAGTTTTTTGAGAGCTGCAATGTGCCCTGAATAAATCAGAGAGGAACTAAAAAAAAAAAGAAGAAGAAGAAGAAGACATGCAGCTCTTATGTGGGCGTTGGTAGTTTGTATGTCTCAGAAGGGCCATGGGAGAATCAGATGTCACCCTCCAAGTGTAGATTTCTGGTTTCTCTGTGTCCCCATTATCGTTCCCCGCCCAGAGCATCAGCTGATTACTGGAGCAGAGCACAGTTGCCCGGCTTTCTAAAAGTGTACCTTGCCAACAGGTTGCTAAACTTCTTTTTATTGCTGCAGATCTTCTGTTCTCTTGGCTGTTGAGAATTTTAAATAAACATGGGTTTTTTAAGTCAAGTAATTAAATAAACATCTCTGTCATTTGTTCTTTCCTTTGTAGCAAGTCTTTCCCCTTGTTTAACCGATGCGTCCCTCAAACGCCTGAGTGCTACTCCTTGTTTGCATCTGTTTTGATAAATGATGTCGACATCCTCCATCAAATTCTGAGTGGAATAATGTCGGGAAGAGACACAATTCTCGGCCTGTGTATCTTTGCATTAGGTAATTTTCCATTAATTTTCTTACAGTGACTGTGCTGAAGTTTCTAGCACTTACAGATGTTATACAGTGAAAATTAGCCTCTTGACTTAAAGATAAAACTTCACATATTTTCTTCATAAATGTTTTCAGTGTTTTAGGTGGGAGAGGGAACAGGTGGGAGGGGGGGAAATAGAATTAGGGGAACGCTAGCTGGCTTTCTGCCAAGAGGCCTCACTGAATGTGGGTTTGCTGTACTACAGCGGCCATGTTCCAGAGCCTGGTCCTCTGCTCTACGTAAAGATGGCGTGTGCAAAGCAGATTTTTTGCAAGTTTTCAAATTGGCCATGAAAATTACAACTGTCAGGGGAACCAGAGATGCATGTCTTCTGGCCAGAGTGCCCGCTCACCATAAGCAAGCCAGGTCAGAAGGCTGCTTGGTGAGCAAGGGAAGGAGGCACGTGGATCCATGTTAAATAGCATCAGATAGCAAGGGCCTGATTGAGCCAACTGCCTCCTTAGGGTTGCAGGCTGGTCAAGGCCTCAAGCCAGGACATGCCTCTTACTGGCATTTCTGGAAGCAGCTACCCCCACTCCTGACCCCTTAACTTCCTGTTTACTGTCTTCCAACTTGATGAACCCCTTTAAGAGTCAACTTTGTCTTTGAATCTTTGAACAGATGAACACATTTCACCGTTGTGGCCAGTACTAATGGCCTGCTGTCTACCCCCTTCTCCAGTGGCTGCTCCCCAACCTTTAGGTTGAAAGAAATTCTTTGGTCAGCTGTGATTTTGCCAGTTTACAAATTGACTTTTCCATAATTTTGTTACCAAAGTACTAATTCCTGAATGCTTGGGGATGCCTAACTTGTCACCATTATGTAACTTCCCAATTTCTTAATGACCCAAATGTGCCAGGCCTTGTGCTTACTCTTAACTTACTAAAACTTCATCAGAGAGGCGCCTGGGTGGCTCAGTGAGTTAAAGCCTCTGCCTTTCCCTCAGGTCATGATCCCAGGATCCTGGGATTAAGCCCCACATGGGGCTCTCTGCTCAGCAGGGAGCCTGCTTCCCCTCTCTCTCTCTGCCTGCCTCTCTGCCTACTTGTGATCTCTGTCAAATAAATAAATAAAACCTTTGAAAAAAAAAAACAAAACTTCATCAGAATCCTGTCACCATTTGTAGGAGGGGAAACTGAGGTTTAGTGAGGTTAAGCGACTTGGCCAAAGTCATGTGGTGACTAGAGTGGGTGGCAGAGCTGAAACTTTACCCAGATGTGTTCTGATCCCCAAACCTATGTTCTTAACCACTGCACCAAAATATCTATAAGTAATCCTGATTTCTTGTTTAGAGAAAAAGCAGTATACATAAATTCACTGAAATGCTTAACATAAACTCATAAGCTTAAAATCCCATGTACTGGACAATAATATGCAGATTTTTTACATAGACAGCTTACCAAAATATTAGAACCTTAAATTTTTCATTTCAAAGGCATTAATTTTTCATATTTAATAAGAATACCTGGGAACATTTAAAGTTGAAACTTTACATAAGCCCAATAAAAAGTCAAAAGAGTTAAGTATGATTAAAAAAAATTTTTTAATGGTTTATTTGGACTTTAAAAAAAACATTTGGCGGGGGGCACCTGGGTGGCTCAGTCAATTAAGCATCTGACTTAGGCTCAGGTCATTATCTGGGATTGGGCTCCGTGCTCAGCAGGGAGTCTGCTTGTCCTTCTCCCTCTCCCTCATACCCTCTGGTCATGTCCTCTTTCTTTCTCTCTCAAATAAATAAATTCTTTGAAAAAAGAAAACATTTTGGATATTTGGGAATAAGATTTAATTAACAAATAAAAAAACTTTTTTTAATTCAAGAAAAATGCTAGGGCTTCAGCAACTGGCTTATTGTAGCAGATGGAACTTGTGTATGCTTCAGACACCCTGAGTGTGTCTTGTTATTTTTGTTTAGTAGATGTCTAAGATATTTAGACATTGAAGGAACGCCTCAGCCTGCCATCTTCTGGGAGTCCCAGTAGCCCTCCCATCATCACCTTCACACCCTGATTGCTGCTGGGGTTTATATGTTCTGCTTAATTTTTCAGCCTTGTCTTTAGCCATGATGGTCACCTTCCGATTCATCACCACCCTCCTGGTTCACATTTTCATCGCACTGATTATCGTGGGACTGTTGTGTAAGTATTTCTTCTTGATGGATTTCTTTTGTATTAAATGAAAAGCCTTTCCATTAAGCATGAAACTTAAAAGTTGACATTCCTGAGCTATATCAGTTTGAGAAAATCTCTTATCCAAGCCCGCCATCTTACATATGAGAAAGCTCAAAACCAGAGAGAAGGGACTTGCTTGTGTCACGCAGATAATAGCCAAGTTGAGGCCGGTCTGTGGTCTCTGCTGCTCTCTGCTGCCGTAGAGATGGGCCTGCCAGTCCAGAAATCCTGGCGGCCATACCATTAACAGATGACTCCAAGGCTTGTTGGAAAGAATGCCTGCTTTTCCAGAATGTCTTCTGAACTTTCCCATCAGCCATTAATATGGAGGTCCCCATGCAGAAGCTCCCACAATCTAAAAAGATTCAGGCCCTGAGCTGGGGCACAGTCCCAAAGACCCTCCCCTGTACCTGCTGGTTCCCCTTTTGTTGCCAGAATGTGGGTCCATCTAGGGGTTGTCAGGAAAGGGGGTCTGAGAGGTAGGGGCACGGAGGAAGTTCAAGGCGGCAGCTGTTTACCAACTGGCATGAGATACTGGAACTTTTAATAATCGATATGACTGTAGGGTTTCAGTCCCCTGAATTATCAGCTCTGCCCTCAGTAGCTTAGAGCCCTACCGCTCACAGGTGCACAGTACACCTTGCTGGAGAACAGTCACAGCAACCCATGATGGATCCTTTCCCATCTGGGACAAGTAAAGACCAATATGACCTTCCTCTAGTCACTGTAGGGGTGTTCTAGGTGGCGGGTAGTGCTTAAACGGAGGGCATGTGCAAGGTCAGGCTATCCACCCAGACTTGGAGTGCCACATGCTGACATGGCGGTTCCCACAGGGGTCGGCACCAGGGGAGCTCATCAGGCAGTTTAGACTTTGAACTTTAACCGTGTCTCCCTCACTGCTCTGCCCATGCACTTTCCGCTCTGCTCACACCCATACCCGGTCTGTAGGCTGGGCTGACAGGATGCACCTGTGTTTGGAATCCCCGCTCTGTGCCTCCCAAAGACAGGCAGCCACTGTGGGGGGGGGGGTCCTTGGGGCAGTTACCCTGGCCAGCTTCTCTAGAGGGTCAGTTGTCACACATAAAGCCCCGGGCCTGTGGGACCCACTACCCGAGCCAGGGCACCCCATGTGTGGTCCACATGCTGGGGGCGGGCGGGAGGGGAGTGCGGGGAGGCCGGTTACCTGACGTGTGTGTGCTGAGTTGCCCCGGTGTTTTGCTTTCTAGTTGTCTGTGGTGTCTTATGGTGGCTGTATTACGACTATACCCATGACCTCAGCATAGAACTGGACACAGAAAGGGAAAATATGAAGTGTTTGCTGGGGTTTGCTCTTGTATCTACAGTAATCACGGTAAGAAATGTCCTTCCAGCAGGAGGACAAGTAGCCCACTAGAACTCTGAGATCCAAATAATTAGATTGTAACCAAGAACAACTAGAATTTGGGTGTTGTTGTTGTTTTTTTTAACCTCTGAGTGTGCATACATAATAGTATGGTGAATGTACATACATGTTTAGTGCGTTCTCTTTTTTATTTGCAATACTCCCAGAGGACTAAATCAAAACCTTCCGGGAAAAAAAAAAAAAAAAAAAAAACCGGGAAAAAAGGTCTTACCTTCTTCCCAAGTCATTTCTGCCAGTTCTCAGAGGCTAACGTGTTACTTGTGCTGATTCATTTTCCTTGAGCACAGTAGAACCATTTTTGCCCCCAAGTGGCAGTAAGATGGACACTGGAGGGGTTGGGAGGGAGAGACTTACGACAGTTCCTGTTTCCTGTTTGTGAGGAGCCTCCCCCTTCCAGCCCATGGGTGCTCTGCCCCCTCCAGGGTGTGGCGGCTCCCACTGCCCTTGAACACAGAGAGCCCTTTATTTCCACACCCGCTGGCCACTGGGTGATTTTGCTGTTCAGACAACCCGCCTCCCCTGTGAATGCCCTAGTTGAAAACCAGCAAACAGAATGTTGAGGCAGCAGATACCAGTGGTCAGGGAGGAGGGAGCTTAGAAAAATCAATCGGGTCACTCCGTGGGGGGCATTAAAAGTGCTAGAATCACAAGGCCCTGGAGGGGGGCTGGGCTGATTTTCAGCCACCACAGCCATCCTCACGGCCCTTGCTGGCGTGTTGCTTACTCACCGTTTGTGGATGGGCAACAGCTAAGGTTTCCACAAGCCCTTTAATTCTTCGGCAGGCGCAGACTCTCTCAGCGACCCAGTTCTCTGCTAAGGAGAGCCTTTGGCTCCCACAGTCGGTAATCTCCGCATTTTCTCCTTTCTAGTGAGGTTTCAGGTTTCAGGTTTCTTCACGTGGAATGCATCTCAGGGAGCAAGCGTCTGACTAAGGAAAGTTCCTGATTTGTCCTTCCCCAGGAAGGGGACTGGGCCCACAGCTGCTGCAGGGCCTTTGAAGGAAGCTGGAGGAGAAATGACCCCCTGGACCCCAGGCCAAGGCTGGAGCTGTTGGGCAGGGGGAGTGGGTGAGGGGGAGAGCCTGCCCTCTCCCTAAGCCCTCCACAGGCTTGCTTTGTCTCCACACACTGAATTTATGGCCACCCGGACTCCAGAGTCAGGGGCGGCCTCTCTTCACTGAGCGTGAGGTGAACGAGAAGGAAGGCTGTGAAGGCAGAGAGGTTGTTCTCACTGTGTCTGTGAGGACTCTTCAGGGGCTGGGACAGAGGGGAGAAGCAAAGCACAGCTCCCAGACCATTCACATAGTACATTTGTCACCGCTGCTTACTGAGCTCCTGCCAAGTGCTGCTTGCTGGGTGGGCAAGTCCTCACAAGAGCTCTAGATTGTCCATTGCCATTTCCCGAGCCCCTCTCATGCACTGGGTCCTGCACTAGGCAACAGTCAGCAAGTTACCTGCCCCCTGATGAGGTGAATTAGAAAGCAAGCAACAGCATGACATGGTGCCTGGGAAAAGACTCTAGCCTTTGCAGTCTCAGGTGGGTGTTCAAACCCATGGCCCACTACCCACTGTGTCACCTCACAGAATGGCTTGGCCATAGGCCTGGGTCTTCTCATCTGTCAAATGGGAATATTCCTGCAAGGTTCCATGGACTTCCCTCCTCCCTAAGGAGCATCTGCCACAGAAGCTCAGCATTCCTATAGAGAGCCACCCACAATGCTCCTGCCTGGAGACCTGGGACTGGGGAGGCAGGGCTGGCTATAGGGCAAGGGGGTAACCCCGCCTGAGAAAAGCACTCTTCACCTTCTGCTTCCCCTGCCAGCCTGGCTTAGCTCCCACAGGACCCTGGCACAAGGTGAGAGAAAGAGGACAGGGAAAATCATATTATGTCCTCTAGTCAGGGACCACTTCCTGTCCCCAGGGCTGGTGTCCAAAGAGAAAGAGGAGTTAGCCGCTGCCCCTCTTCTCCCTCACTCTACCTTTCTTACCCATTTTCTATATTGTTTCACAGAAAGCACTAGCGGTGATGGAGAAAAGAGGGTGAATGGCATTAAACACACATGTCAGGGCATCAGCTTAGGAGCACAGGCTGAAAGGCAGCTCCCAGAGGCTTGAGCCCAGAATAGTGAAGTCAAGACATGACCCCCATGGTGCCTCAGGCCTGCTGCCCAGCCCAGCCTCACTCACACCCCCAACACCATCCCCATTAGGTAATGCTGATCCCTGCAGAGACTGGGGAGAAGGTCAGGTTAGCATTGACTCTACACTTCTAAAAAACATCCTTGCAGTGTCCTTAAGCATGTGAAAGGATTTTTGTATGCATGCATATAACTTGTAAAACACACATGCATTTAAATACACAAGTGTTAGTTTCCCACGCGGGAGCTAGAAGCCAAGATTATTTACCTAGAGATCGTATCATTTTGCTTCATGAAAATTTTAAGTAAAACCAAGGAAAGGTCCCTCTTTCTTGTTGATAGTAATAGCCTTCAAAAATGCAGAGTTGGGGGGCGCCTGCAACTCAGTGGGTTGGCTCAGTGGGTTAAATCCTCTGCCTTCGGCTCAGGTCATGATCTCAGGGTCCTGGGATCAAGCCCCACATCGGGCTCTCTGCTCAGCGGGGAGCCTGCTTCCTCCTCTCTCTCTGCCTGCCTCTCTGCCAACTTGTGATCTCTGTCTGTCAAATAAATAAATAAAATCTTTAAAAAAAAATGCAGAGTTGGAAATGCCTACTTCGCCTTTACGACTTGGGGTGACCGGACATGTTCAGCTGGGGCAGGAGGCCCTGCTCCCAGTTCTGGGAGCTGTTTTAGTTTATCCGCCTTCCTTCAACTTTCTTCCATGGACTATGAGATCCTTCGGGTCAGGAATGCCTCAGGCCAGCTAGCAGAGAAAGGATATCTTGGGCTAAAGGAATGGCACACATGGGGTCACGTGGACACAAGAAAGACCCGTGGGAGGTTCTCTTGGCAGAAGCCCAAGAGGTAGATACGGGGAGGGGCCATGCCAGGAAGGTCCTGATCTGGGATGATGATGACTTTGATCTTTACCCAGAAGCACGGATAACTGTTGAGGGATTTTGAGCCGGGAAACGACATCATTGACTCTACCCTTTCAGAGATCGCTTTAGCTGTAGGTTAGAGGAGGGAAGAGGGTAGGGGCAGGAGCCAAGGCGATTAAAACAGAGGCCAATGAGGCGGTTATTAGGGCACAGATGGTTGAGGATAGGACTTGAGCTGTGATCAACTGTGGATCACAGACTGAGAGATCTAGGAAACTGAACACAGGTAACTGGGATTGTGCTGGGCACAGGGAGGGTTCTGCTCTTGGGGAGCTTAACCTAATGGGAAATTCAGACAAGTAAACATTTGCAGTAGAAAATGCCGAGTGCTACAGTTGGGGTAAGTTTGGGATAATATGGAAACACACAATAGAGGAAACTTACCTATTCTTGGAGAGTCCAGAAAAATTATGGCCACTGGAATCGGGAATCTAGAAGAAAGGAGATTTTTGTGTGAAGATAATGAATTTGGCTCAGGACAAGATGAATTTGAGACATTGTAGGATATTCACGGCCTGGCCAGGAACTGATGCTTACTCACCTAGCACCCAGAGAGGGGTGAGGCTGGAGGTTCTTCTTCTTCTTCATTTTTTTTTTTTTTAATTTATTTGAGAGAGAGAGACCATGAGCCAGAGGATGGGGGGTGGGGGTGGGGCCAAAAGGAAGGGGAGAAGCAGACTCCCTGCTGAGCTGGGAGCCTGATGCAGGGCTCGATCCCAGGACCCTGAGACCATGACCTGAGCTGAAGGCAGATGTTTAACCAACTGAGCCACTGAGGCACTCCAAGGCTAGGGGTTCTTGTTGGAAATGAACGTTCTCAGCCTCTGAGAAACAATAACTGAAGAAGTAGAAGAGCCAGAAAAAAGCAATCACAGAAGTGAAGGGAGAAGAAAGTTTTAAGAAAAGAGGAATGGACAGAGACTTGCATGTTGTACTCTGGGTTAAGGTGTGAAAGTGTGGATGGCACGGGGAGACTAGTCTGTGCAGAAGCTCGCCTGTGAAGGGGAGATGGCCCGTGGCTGGACTGGGGTTGGGGATGAATTTAATACGGAATTTACATGGAGGGAAACTAAAACCAAGAGAGAAGGCACAGTGGGTTGCTTGGAGACATAATCACTGCCCTTTCCCCTTATACTTGCATTCCTTGCCTTTTGCAGTCCTTGAGCATTCTCTGGGTCTCTTGGGTATTGTGGGGAGGAGATGAGGGACAGAAGAGGGTTCTCTGATCCTAGAGGACCTTATGTGCATTTTCTCTTGCTCTCTGACCAAATCTCAAGTTCCCTTAGGGCCTGGGCTGTGTCTTGTTCACTGTTAGAACTGCAGGATCTCTCATAGCGACCAGCACATAGTAGATGCTCAATTAGGATTTGAACATTTTTCTGTTCAATTATAATAAGAATAGTGAGTAGCTAAAGAGCTGTTTGCTGAGATATCAGTGAAATATGAAGGTCTACTTGAAGTTCTTCTCAGTTCTTCATTATTTTGAGTCATTTATTCTAACCCCTTTCTCACCAGGTAGTTCTGCTCGGCTTGATATTTGTCCACAGAAAGAGAATAAAACTGACAGTTGAACTTTTCCAAGTCATAAATAAGGCCATCAGCAACTCTCCTTTCCTGCTATTCCAACCACTGTGGACTTTTGCCATCCTCATTTCCTTCTGGGTCTTCTGGGTGGCTGTGCTCCTGAGCCTGGGGACCGCAGGTAAGAGCTCTGGGTTCCATCACCTTGGAGGTGGGCTCGGAAGACCCCAGCATTTTGGAGCCATTGGCCTGTTTTTATAGGGACCATGGAACTAGAGGTGTCTGATAACAACAGTGATGGTGCCAGGGCTCTGTCATGAAGGAAAGCAGGAAAATCCTTTTCCTCTTCTACACTGGCCTTCAAGAAACTGGGTTTGTTTCAAGAGAGAATAAATTCGGTGGGGACTGAAAGAGCTTTCGGAAAACCTACAATATGGGGCACCTGGGTGGCTCAGTTGATTAAGCAGCTGCTTTCAGCTTGGGTCATGATCCCAGGATCCTGGGATCGAGCCCCACATCGGGTTCCCTGCTTAATGGGGAGACTGCTTCTCCCTTTTTCTCTGCCCTGCTGCTCTGTCTACTTGTGCTCTCTCTCTAAATGGATAAAATCTTAAAAAAAAAAAAAAAAAGGCTACAATATGTACAAAAGTCTCTAGAAAGAAGGATTCAGATTTTATCCACGGCAGTTTGCCAACTTCTCTCACCTCAGACGATCAGTACTCTGACGGGAGTACCAAAGAGTAAGTTGCTTTCTGAGACCATCGCAGACGGGTAAGAACCACAGCAGATGGCAAGTCAACAAGGCTAATAGGATTCCTTACTGTTTTGTCCAAGTTTACGTTGTCCTTGATCAGCACCGGTCAGATCTGTAAGAGCAACTGCTGTGTGGTAGATTCTCTTCCCTCTCTCTGGAGTCAGCTGACCCTTCAAGATGGTCAGTCAGTAGGCTCCTTGGGAGGCATAGCCCCTACTTCCGGCTCCAGAGACGCTGTGGGAGCACTCTCTCCTGTCCTCTAGAAGTTCTCAGCAGACCTACAGTGAACTCAGAATAATTACCCAGGATGAACCAGGACTATAATCAGTCAGGATGAGGTGTGTCTGGGAGTCACAGAAGACTCAACCAACCAGTGGCTTAAATATGGTATGAGGTCATTTCTCTCACATAAATGAAGTCCCCAAGGAGGAGCCCCATGCCAGCATGGTCCTCTAGAGATGGAGGACCTAGGTGCGTGTGTTCGACTTCATCTCAGCACCTTGTGGCTGATCTCCTCTCCCACTTGCTTCCATCCGGTAGCTGAAATGGACACTCAGGCTCCAACCGAATCCTACACCAGGCATTGGGTAGGTGGCAGGAAGGAAGATGAGTGTCCCCTCCCTCACTCAGCCCTCCTAGAAGTCATGACGGCACGTTCACCTCCACCTGACCAGCAAGAGCCTTATGACACAGCAGCACCTTCCTGCGAGGGAGGACGGGTGAGGGTTTCATTAGCAGTTAAAAAATTAGAGGTTCTACTGCCAAGAAAAAGCGAGAACAGATGTTGTGGGACAGTTGGAAGTCTCAGCTAGAAAACACTGAACAGCTCTATTTTGCTCCCTTGAAGCAGTCTCCGTCACAGTCAGAAAGGAGGGCAGTGGCCTTGGGACGTGTGGGAGCACAAGCATTTGTTGAACAGTGCCCAATTCAAGGCTGCATGCCAGGAGTTTTCTTATGTTCTCTGCTTTAAGCATGGCAGTGCCCCTCGTCCTGTGTTTGTTATGCTCAAGTTCCAAGCAAGAGAATTGAGGCTCTGTGTGCGCACTCTGTGGAAGGTCACCCCATGAGGAAGTGCGAGGCTCTCTCTGGTTCCAGAACCCTGGGGTGGAGCCCATGTGCACTCTGCCATCTCACATCCCCGGTGTTTGGGAGACAGAGGGGGCCTCCTCAGTTGTCTGTCAAGTCAGAGCAGTGCTGTGGCCACAGTAACTGGCTGGCGGATGTGGCCTGGGCACAGTGTTGTGTTTGGGGTCTGTGGTTACAGGACAACAGGAAAGGGCTGGAGATCGCAGCCAGGGTGGGCTGGGAGTGACGGGTGGCCGAGAGCGGTGGGGATGGCGCATGGGGTGTTGGACGGTGGTATTGGAACCCCTAAAGAATCCCCAGAGAAAGGGTGCCCTAAAGAATCCCCAGAGAAAGGGTGATGTCATGGAAGTATGACTCAGGACCAGGGAAGGACCTTCCGTCCTCCTACAGCCCCTGGGGCGTAGCCGCCCCTCCTGTCCTTGTGGGCTGTGAGTCTGGCTGAAGGACTGTGCTTAACCCACCATACTTGGGGGCAGGGCCCATTCATTTGTTCTTGCCTTTTCACAAATGTTAGGGGAACACTGTGGGGCCGAGGCCCTGGGCAAGGCACTGGGGAGGAATGGTGTCCTCTCCTAACAGTACTTAGAGTCCAGCAGGACAGACTGACAATGAAATGTGTGCTCTTAATGAAGGTTGATGAATGTCATGATAGGAGAATTTTGGGGAGCTCCTAGAGCATGGGAACGGGGCTCTACCCTGCTTTGGGAGTCAGGGAAGGCTTCTCAGAGGATGGGCTAGAAATTGCCAGATCAGAAGATAACAGAAAGAAGCCCAGGGGGATTCACTAGGGGTCACAAGCAAACCCAGGAGAGGACCTGGTCACAGACGACAGGGAGAGAGCCAGTCCTGGGAGCTGGGGGTACAGGTGGGGAGGAGCATATCCCAGGGCTGACTCAGGGGTGAGCCCCCAGTGGGGTGTCCCTTTAGTTCCCCGTTAGGCCCAAGTTGTGCCCGGGGCCCCGGGGGCATGAAATGGCATCTGCCGCAGAGCTGCGAGCAGGAGAGGCAGGAAGACAGGTTAGGGGATTCTGTGGGGCCAAAGATAGCACAGCATTCTGGAGCCGTCTGGGAGGTCAGGTACTAAAGTGTGGCCATTCTCTGTCAGTGGACGGAGGAAACCAGGCCAGAGGGTGAGGGACAGAAGGGCAGGAAGGAAAACCAGGTGCCTGGGACCTGACGTAGGCATGCGTGCTAGCAGACCTTCCACTTTACAGGAGAGGAGGTATCGCAGAGAACTATGTCCTTCCCTCCTTCCTGGGCTTGGGCAACCTAAACACCAGACTGTCCCCTTCAGCCACCTGACTCTCCTTTCCACTCACCTGTGGGTCAACTCAGGTGCACAGAACTCCTTTGTTTTCAAAGAACTTTTCACTCCATGCCAGAGCCACCGCTCTGGGTCTGGGCGGGTCACTTCTTGGCTTCATGTCATTTTGACCTTCAGGAGACATCCCAGCTGCACTTGTGGGAGACTGGGAGCTGCTGTCTGAGCTTGTGAAAAGAAGCTGATGTGGGTGATCAGACGGATTGTTTCCCCTCACATCCCCTCAGGGAATTATAGAACCTTCTAGTTGTCCAGCTGGTGCCCAGTGTGGCTGCGGTGGTGGGGAGTGTCCTCAGTGGATAATAGTTGGGAGCTTTTTATCATGTCAGGTGGCTGAATGAACTGGTATTTTGGGGCACCTGGGTGGCTCAGTCAGTTAGGCGTCTGCCTTCGGCTCAGGTCATGATCCCAGCATCCTGGGATCAAGCCCTGCCCTGGACTCCCTGCTTAGCTGGGAGCCTGCTTCTCCCTCTCCTCTGACTGCTGCTCCCCCTCTTGTGCTCACTCTCTCTGTCAAAAGAATAAATAAAATCTTAAAAAAAAAGAAAGAAAGAAAGAAAGAAACTAAAATCTTAATGTGTAAAAAGGAAAATAAAAATTCAGGAAAAAATGAACTTGGGTGGTTTTGCCCTGATGAGCTATTTCTCTAGAGGCTTTAAATCAGTCTCTGTGCTAGTCGACAAATTCTGGCTTATTTGGGGATCATTTCAGCAGACTGAATTAAAGCCCTCCACCTGTGACACTGGTTAGCCATTAGAAACTGTCTGCCACCAGCCATGTGACAACAACTACTAAAATCCAGTAGGGAAAAGTGAAACTGTGATAACCTTGGGAAGCCAGCAGGTGCAGGTGGCAGGTTGGAAGGAGCCCATGTGGGCTCATTACACCATTAGGGTGGCCTGGAAACCCCAGAGTCGACAGTGGAGGAAGCCTGTCTTGGCGGGGGGGTCACTTCCCCTCCCAGTGTGCTGTAATTAGAAAGGTCATCACAGGGATGCAGTGGGGCCAAGGGCCATGCCTGGAATCAAGGGACCCAGGATCTCGGCAGGGTCTGGCCTTCCTCCATGCTTCCCTTTTCCCATTTTGGCAATGGAAATTTTACGGGGATGTGAGGAGGCTGAGATGGTACCAGAGCTTTGCTTTGCAAATAAGGGCCTATATATGTTCCTTATGTTGGGAATTCCTGTCGCCTAGAGTATCTGGTACCAAGCTTCAGCTTTACTCTCTGCCCTGCCTAGCATATTTGAGAACACAGTTTCAAAGAAAATTGTCTTTTTTAAGTTCCGAGACATCTAGAAAATAACGTCTCCTAGCAGCCCAGACCTGTCCTAGGAACAGGTAGACGGAGCTTGCACAAAAGAGATTTTAAACAGTCCCTGCTTTTTTGAAGTTTATGGGCCCTTTGGGAGGGTGCAAAGGAGAACAGTCTGCAGGGACATCCATGCCTTTGCACCTGCCATGCCTTCATCTGGAAACATCTCTTCACAACCTGCACCCCACTCTCTACCCCCAAACCGCTTGAAAATCTAGTCATTCTCCAAGAATGGTTTTGAGCATTGTAGTTCTTAGAAATCTATCTGTAAGTTCACCAGGCATACTTAATATTGCTTCTTCATTTTCCTTGCATTTTTTATACTCTTCATTCTTTCAACAGCTCTCCCTTGCAGCCCTGGGAACTAGAGATATAGGACAGAACTCCTAGTGAGTGGGCAGAGAGGGAATAAGTAAATATTTGTATGTCAGATGGTGATGAGTCCTACGAAGAACAATAATGCAAGACAATGACTCGTGTGTTCCATCCTCCTGGAGTATGGACATCTTGAGGGCAGGGGCCATGTCTTTTTCTTTCTGGGTCTTTTACCCCAGTGTGCAGCCCCTCAGTGAGTCAATGAGTGTATCCTGAATCAGTAGGTGAGTTCACAGCAGCTCTGTATTAAATGAGACGTATACTTAGAAAGAACTTGGTAAATTACAGACTCAATGGCCGTGAGATTTTCTTCTCTTTTCCCTTCCTCTTCAT